AATGTTCTCCAGCTTTTCACTGTGCACTTGAGAACTGGTGAGAAAACTCCAGCAACTGGACCTCACCACTCACTTAGCATTGTCAACCTGACACAATCTGGAATCATCCAGGAAAAAGAGTCTCAGTGAGGGATTGTCTAGATAAGTTGGCATGTGATTTTATCTGTGTTTGTTTTGATTGTGTTGAGGTGGGAAGACCTGCCCACTATGGGCGACACCATTCCCTAGGCAGCCGATCCTGAACTGTATAAATTCAGAGATGGGGACTGAGCATAAGTAAACACGCATGCGTCTCTGCCCTTGATTGTGTGTTGTGACTAGCTGCTTCAAGTTTCTGTCCTCTGGACTGTAACGTAGAATTATCAGATGGAATAGACCCTTTTTCTGGCTTCAGACCTTTCTGCCGGGATATTTTATCAGAGCAACAACAATGAAACGAAGAAATCAACCTTAAATTTTTAAGACTGATTTTATTAATGAATGCATATTTGTGTGTTTAGTACACTCAAGGGCAGGTACCCCTGTGGAGAGGCCAGAGGCATCAGATCATCCTAGATCTGGAGATAGATGGTTTTGAACATCCCAGCATGGGTACTGAGAACTGGACTCAGGCCACCCAAAGAGTAGCTCACACACACCAGCCATGCCTTCTAGGATATCCCAGTGTTCATGAGAGCAAGGGGAGAGATCATAGTAGGTGCAGGGGCTGCATCCTTTACCAGTGACTCCTGTTAGAAAGGGAGATGACAAATGTCCAAGATGCACAGAAAAGAGACAATGAGCCCAGCTTTCGAGAACGGAAGCTGAAGGGAAAAGACGAGAAACCACAGTGGGAAAAGCCAAGAATCCAGGTTCCATCCCCCCATGTTTAGAGAACAGCTGTAAACCAGGACCACTAGGCTTGCCTGTAGTTCTAGCAGAGGAAGAGGAAGAAGAGGGGGGACTGGGTTGGGGGTGGGGATGGAAGGGACCTTCCCTATCCTGTTCCTTCTTTTCTGTGATAACTGAGTTGTGACCCTTTCTCCTCTGTGACCATACGTTGACCATTTCTCTGTGAAACTATACCTTTAATCACTACTTCAGCATGATTCACACCACTCAGGCAGCCCAGGATATGGTCCAGGTCTACATGGTGATATCCTGAAGTCCGGTTTTCCGATACCTGCCGATAACGTTTGTACTTTCGGAGTGGAGAGATATCGAGGCTTTTTAAAGCAAATTGTGATGTTAAGGTCTATCTCAGGGTTTCTTCTCATTGTATCTAAGCCAGTGCGCTTATGCATGAAGTGCCAGCATGCAGGCGGTCAGTGGTGGTGGCTTGATCTTATAGCCCGTCACTCGCTCATCCCGCCAGAATGTGTGAGCATTGTGCAGATCCTACACTCAGTGCCAGGGCCAGGGACACAGGCATCAACAGACCAGCTTCATTCCCAACAAATCTTCATCTTATGGTGACATTGCCAAGAAGGATTAAAGTCTGTGTGTACACTCATATGCAAACAAGCACATCCATGCCAATTTATACAGGCACATGCATGCATCTCTTATGAAGGCCATAAAGAAAGAAGGGATGTAGGGGTTTGAATAAGATGTCATAGTCTCGGGCATTTGAACACTTGGTCCCTAGTTGGTGACATTCTTCGGGGATGTCTGGATGGTACAACCTTGCTGGGGGAGATATGTCATTGAGGGCAGGCTTTGAGATTAAAAGCCTCATGTCCTTTGCAGTTTTCTCTCTCTCTGCTTGTAATTGCATCCAAAGATGTAAGCTCCAGCCACCATGCTTGCTGTTTACCGCCACGCCTTTCTCCCACGATGGACTCTTATCCCTCTAGAACCATAATCCAAAGCAACCTCTCACTTGGTTATGGTGCTTTGTCACAGCAAGAGAAGTAACTGACACAGAGGAGGTTCGTGAACTTCAGGGAAAATCTAATCTCTATAAGTACACAGAGGGGTAGCTAAACTAGGAACCAGCCCCTCTCAAGGAAGGTACTGCAGGATAGACAGACCATGACTCTGCATGCTGAGGTGTCTAAGACTCTGCTTGGATTCAGGGTGTGGCCTGTGCCTGCGGCAAGCCGACTAAAGCTTTGTTTTACAGGATGTGGGTAAGGATGGGGCACAGTGAAACATCCTTGAGCTGGTGCCCTTTAAGGTTTAAGCAACAGAGGGGCTTGGCAGATGGTTCAGTAAATCACAATGCCTGCCATGCAAGCATGGGAACCTAAGTTCAAATCCACAGAACCCGTGTTTAAAACAAACAACGTTGAACATGGACACACACGCACCTGTAACTCCAGCTCTGGGGAGGGCAGGGCAGAAACAGGATTGCTAGGGCTTGCTGGTCAGCAAACAGTAAACTCCAGATTCAGTAAGAGACCTTGTCTTAGGGGAACAGGGAAGAGAGAAACAGAGAATGATGCTTAACATCAACAGCTGGAAAGAGAAGAACATGGCTACCCTGCTGACCACTGCCTTGAGCCAGCAGCTGTCTCTGGGAAAACCTAACATTGCTCCAGAGGAAGAGATCAGCCAGGCCCTCAGACCACAGGTGTCTTTGATGGCTCTGAAGGAACAGTAAAATGCCAAAGTGTCTGGTTCCATGTTGCTTTCGTTCCCACTGAGTGTATCTAAGGTGAACTATTCTCAGGCCATGCAGTACTGGACCAATGTGTGGTCTTGAGAAAGTGCATCCTTTCTCACACCCTAGACCCCTCATCACAGAAGAGGGATCACATGCCAGTCCTATTTCTCAGTGTTAGCGGACTAACATCTAGTCATCTCCACTTGAAAGCCAACATTTGGGAGATGAGAGCGTATGGAATGCAATCGGGTTGATTGGAGGACGGGCACCTTGGCAGACGGATAAGGCTGTCCTTCGAGCTCTGCTTTGGAGGGTCCGGGGATACAGCTGATGTTTACAGGGAGGAGAGGAGCAGAAAGGCTGCATCCTAGATGCTGTCTTGACTTCTAATATCCTTTCCCTCTGGCCTGAGCCCTACAGTGGAGCCCAAGCTCCTGAGAGGAACTCCTATGCACCCTTCTGAGGGACGTGGTCCTTTGGTTGCAAGCCAAACCTCACAGAAATGCTCACGCTTTTTTGGTAAAGACTATGAAAAGGCAGTACAGGCTTTATGTTGTATGAAGACCACATAGATGTCCTAGATTCTGTAAACCTAGAGAAATACAACTCAGCAGTTAGCACACTGATCCTTTAGGTGGGTCTCTTCCTTAGAATTTTGAGTGACAGGACAAAGGGGAGGGAGCTAAGGCTTTCAGAGAGATGAGTAAGAAGATGAAGCAGGCCTTGTGGCAGGTGGGCTGGGGCGTGTGGGAGGCTTAGGGAAGGGGAGCAGGAATGGGGAGGAGAATCAGGCCTTGGGAAAGAAGGCCTGGAGAGGGGCAAAAGAAGGCTCTACCAAAAATGGCTCCCAAGAAGCGGCCAAGCTGTCACGGCCAAGTGCAATGACAGAGGTATGCAATCAGGTCTCATGCAGCCTGCTCACTATTGTGCCGGCTGGTTTTATGTCAACTCGACGCAAGCTAGAGTCATCAGAGAGGAGGGAAATTCGGTTGAGAAACAGCCTCCACAGCATCTAGCTGTGGGTCATTTTCTTAATTCGTGATTGATGGTGAAGGGTCCAGCCCCTTGGGGGCGGTACCGCTCCTGGGCTGGTGGTCTTGCGTTCTGTAAGAAAGCAGGCACATGTCTATTGAAATGTGCAGGGCTTGGACAAGGCACCTGGTCTGTGCTGTGCTGGGCTGCTGTATTATCCAAGACAGTCTGTAAGCACGAAAACAACAGTGACAGAGAAGGGGTGAGGTCACAGCAGGCTGGAACCTTCCTTTCTCCAACCTCAGTCTGGCTCTCTCAAGTGGGATGGTTACTTCGGAAAACTCCTTACTTCAAAGCTCGTCTGTATTCTACGGAAACTGGCAAGATTGTCAAAGAGAGTTTGGCACAGCCAACCAGAAAGAACATCCTCCTCCTCATCTAACGATTCCCCTCCCAAAGTTTTGCTTATAAGAAGTCAACTGGATACGATCCTAAGAAAGTAAATGGAACATTCCAGAAACTACTGGTGAGTCTTCAGTTACTGGTTTAAATACTATGAGGAAATCTCATGCCTTTCCACTCTATCCCCTTCCCCCACAACCCCAGGACATAAGTCATGTGTTTGTCCAGTATGTCCACACTGAATGTGCTACCCACCCACCAGTGAGCTGATAGCTACTTCATTTATTGGGTGGAATCTTGGCAGAACAATGCTTATGACCGAATGACCCTTATTTTACTTTGTAATGGTCACAGATAGAAAGAAAGAAAGACGTGACAGGTTTGTAGGTAGGAGCCTTATAAAGATAGTGGTGGCAATGGGCCAGGGTTCTGAAGGGAGAGAGCCTTCAAGTTTCAGAATTTGAAGGGAGTTTCTGACTCTTAGAGGTTGTGGAGGGTGGTGGTTCACACCACACCAGTGACCTAATCTGAGTGTTAGGAATGGAGCGTGAAGTTGTAGTTTTAAGATTGCAGTGGGTCATTGCACGGAGAGCCCTTGATTGCCTCTGGCTACAGAGGAAGGTGGGAAAGACTAAGAGGCCACAGCAGGTCCCACCTGACTGCTCTCTGCCTGCAGTGGCAGAGGCTGCAAATGACATGGCTTGACTTCTCCGAGCTTGCGAAGACATCTGTTCTCTATTGTGCCGGCTGGTTTATCAGAGAGGAGGGAAATTTGGTTGAGAAACAGCCTCCATGGCATCCAGCTGTGGGACATTTTCTTAATTTGTGATTGATGGTGAAGGGTCCAGCCCCTTGTGGGCGGTACCGCTCCTGGGCTGGTGGTCTTGCATTCTGTAAGAAGGTACGCTGGGCAAGCCATGAAAGACAAGCCAGTCAGCAGCACCCCTCCATGGCCTCTGCACCAGCTCCTGCCTCCAGGTTCCTGCCCTGCTTGAGTTCCTGCCCTCACTGTTTGTGATGATGTGTGAGCAGCCATATGTTTTTATAACTGCTGTGCTTTATTTTCAGTTGGGATTGTCATCTCTTCCTGTGACTAATACATAAATCACATTCATAGGGAGGGGTGCATATGGAAAAGAACCATCTGTATAGGGCTCGGACTTACCCACAGTTTCAGGCACCCACTGTGGGTCTTGGGACATGTATTCTATTCACAGAAATCTATGTAGTGCCTCTAATCTGGACAGGGTTGAGTCAAAGTACAAAGACTATGTGGCAGTTTGTTTTGGTGATATGTCTTCCCCCACATACACACTACACACACACACACACACACACACACACACAAACACACAACTTTCTGTTGCAGCCACAAAGCAACTGATTCCTACCCCCAAAGACTTCATCTTCGACAAGCTTGAATGACCAATGGCTATGTCTCACGCAACCCTCCTCTGTTATTGGGTAATATAGGACTGTGAGCCATGTAAGAGGGACCCGGATACCATCGGCTGTAGTCCATTAGCAGAGTGTGTGTGGGGGGGGGGAGTGGGGCAGACCCAATCACTTAGGACCCCTCTCTATTCAACTTGCTTTTAGTGTCCAGTCTTGTCTCTGTCCAGACCTGTGTCCCTGACTCTGCTTATGAGTCCCACAATGCAATATGGGATACCTCTGATATGCTGAGAAACCTGTTCTAACAGGAAAATGCAAACTCCTGACATGCGTAGACTTTGGACATGAGTCCATGATTTGAGTTTCAGTGACCCATCACCACGAAGTCATTCAAGCCCAAGGCCAAGCCAAGCTAAGCAAAGAGACACCTTCCAGAAGGGAGGAATTCATCAAGCACCAAATCCTGTGAGAAAACAGTGGAGCAAAACCTCAGGCTGAATCAGTCACAGACTAAGTTCCCCACTCCCGAAAACTAGCTCTTACAAGTAGATGGTGGGTTGAGATCTGGAGCTTGGGGTTAGAACAAATAGGTGACTGTATCTTCAACAATCCACACCAGCAGTTCCTGCACCAACTGGTGTTGATGGGTTTACATGAGAGCTTGCCTGTGTTGGCAGCGACTCTGAGGAGAAAATCTATGGGGGTGGCAGAGAAAGGTGTCGCTTGTGTGCATGAATCAGTTCATGAAGCACAGAAAGAGCTCCCAAGGTCGTTTCAGCCCCAAAGCCCAGAGGCCAGGGGCTTTAGCAGCAGGCAACTCCGGTTGTCAGGGTTGGGAGGATGCTCTTCCCACTGGCTCCATTTCAGTGCAATGGGCAGAGCGATAAAAGTTGGTACTCGAATCCAACATGGCCACCCACGAGTCCAGGGAAGGCTCGGGCTGTGTCCACCCTCGGGAGCTCAGGGGCTGGCTTGTTCCCTCTTCAAGTCTTCAAGTCTCTCTAGAAGTGAGAACAGGGATTGCTGTTTTTCCCCCCTGCAAACCATGTCTTGGACATGGAGACAGATTTCCCACCAGGTGTTATCAATGGTTATTGAGGAGGACTGGGTTTCTGAGGGAAGAGTCTGCCAGCTCTGGAGAGCTCCCACTCAGAAAACACTCTGCACTTTTCATCTCTGCCCAAGATTGTCCCACAGACTGCTACATGAAGGTGCCAGGTCTCAGCCACGTGCTTCTGAGGACTAAGTTGAAGCAGAATAATTTTTGTTTTAAGCCCCAACGGAATAGGGAAACATAGTGAATAGGATAAGAATGACAGAGTGGGGACCCCTGGGGACCTGATATAAGACAATACTGCAAGGTGAGGGGACTCTTGGAAGGGTCTCTCATGGGACAAGTCAAACCTGGGACTCTTCCTACAGAATGGAAGGGGCTTCCAGACCTTCCTTGAGCTACCTGGAAAGCGATTTAGAAGCAGGTATGTCTGGGGCAGGTGACATCTCCTGCAGGTCCTTGGTGGTCAGAGGCAGCTGATGACTAAGCTGGCCTGAGAGACTGTTCAAAAGCCCAGCCAGCCACCGTAGTGAAGCCCCTGAGACAACGAGACACTTCAGAAACCAGGCGGATCTTTTCCTGCTTGCCAGTGAGACGTGGTACACCAGCCTTTCTAAAATGATGTTCGAAGCATTAAGATTGCCTGGTCCTTACACCAGATCCCCAATTGAGACCAACTGGAAGAGAGTCCTGGGGCTCTTTCAGTTTTAACACATGGCCAAGGAAGGATATGTTCACCCCAAGTACTCCATCTCCAAGTTCTCCATCTGTTTATCCCTCTGGGTAGAGTCATGCTGAGGTTCTGATCTGGGTATGGCTGTACTCGTACGAGTCCTTACTCGCTTGGGAACCCTCATTTACCTGAGATCCCATCTATCATTGAGGAGTGTGGCAGCACAATATAGACACTGGCCAGGTCCCTGTTCCTGTCGCAGCTGCCCAGCCCGAGTTCCTGACTGCCCCATACTCTTGGACAATGTGAGACATCCAAGGAGCAGTTTCTTGGCTTTGTGGTGGTTTAGAGTTCCCGAATAGTCATATGGCCCCTGTGTCCCAAGAGATAATCACAGGAAGGCATGCTTGCTGTCTGAGGTCCCTCTATCCCTTGCCACATCTCCCGGGTACATATGGCCGGTCTGAATCCTAATTTCCTTGCACAGTGCCTTCAGTGGTCTCTGCATGAGGGCATCACCTACTCAAACGCCCACTTTCACAAGGGGAAGACAAGTGTTAGCTAAATCCTGTACTGAAGAGCCTGAGGTACTTAATGTACAACGGTACCAACAGACAGCTCCAGCTGATAGCTTCCTACTGGCCTGTGACTGGCAGCCAGGCCTATACTGGGCCAGCCCTGCAGGCTCCATCATGCGTCCAAGATGGAAGCAAGACTGTGGAAAGTCACAGCTATGACAAGTGACGCTGAGATCTGAATATGTCCTGGCCTCACCTGCCACCACCTCATTCCCTACCCTACCCCGACACAGGAGCCATGTCCAGTGTCTTTCCTCATTTAGATGAAGAAGCAGAGGACTCGGGGTGTAGCTCGGTGGTAGAGTCCACCTAGTACATACATGACCTTGCATTCGGTCCTCAGTACTAAAAATGAAAAAAAAAAGAAAAAAAAACCCTTGAGTTGAACCAATAATGAAAAAATAGGATAATTACTATATTTGGTTATAGTAATTTACGTAACATGGACGAGCTTTTTAAAAGACAACAGTCCCATGGCATTTGACACGCTGATGCATGCAGCCACCCCCTCTGTAGGTTGGAGAGTTAGCTTGGAGGTTAAGAGGACTGGCTGTTCTTATAGTGGACCCGGGTTTGATTTGCAGCACCCACATGGCAGCTCACAGCTGTCTGTGACTCCAGTCTCAAGAGATCTGAAGCCCTCTTCTGACCTCCCCAGGCATCAGGCACACACATAGAGCACAGACATACATGCAGACGAAACACCCATACACATAAAATAAAACTAACATTTGAAAAAGAAAAGAAGCAGAAATTAACCCCTGCCTGAAGGACGCTAAGGGAGTTCTTGAAGGTTCTTTTCTTATTTAGTCAATTGCTTCAAATGACAAAAACTCTTTAAAACAGTCCTTGAGGTGGCCCAGTGCTTAAGAGCACACACTATTGTATACTGCAGTGGACCTGGGTTTGATTCCCAGCTCCTACAGTAGGCAGTTTATAATACTGTAACTCCAGTTCTTCTAAACTTTGAAAATAAGTACTCACATGCACACACACACACACA